TTTTTCTTCAACTTGATTAACCTCTCTAATCAGGTAATGTGTTTTTTTTGTCTATTGCTGGTTTAGCATGTGATTATCAGGGTTTTTATTTTATTTATTTTATTTTTTTTAAACTTTAAATAGATCTACCTGGTTTTAGACACTGCTGAGGGCCTGTCCTGCTATCTGTGTCTGCAGTGAGACAGGAGCTCCGGACACGTTCTCATACAGAAGCCCTTCCCTCGCATCCCGCCCTCAGCTATCCCAGAACCCCCTCAGGAGCGGTGGACTCACAAGTACCCCATATCCAAATAATTAATCCAAAGCAATTACTCACTGCCTTCATCCGTCTCTTAGCCTGCTAACAAAACATTTCTACGTATGTCCTCATCAGTTAACTTTAATTACGCCGACGACAATTTATCAGCCTCGCATTAATGAAACATGCTGCACCAAGATACTCACAAAAATGTCCTATTTTCCCTTTTTTTTGTGTAATGGAGGAAAAAAATAATAATTAAGAAACCCAACAGTGAGGAGCCTCATGAGAGAGCCAGCAGGAGTTTAAAGATATCACTTTTTTTCTCTATTTTGTTCTAATCAGGGAACATAGTTACCGTCACCAACGTGTCTCCTTTATTCAGCACAAGTGAAAACAAGCACAGGAGACACTTTACTTTTTTTTGCTAAATTTGGCAAAGTTTCGTAATGCTGTTTTTTTTTTTTTTTTTTTACCTGGACGTTGAAGATAATGTCAAATCTGAATTTCTTTAATTTCTACAACAATAATATGAGTTTTGTTGTTGAATGCAGTGGGAGAACTTGACATGCACTCATTGTGTTAGGTTAAATGAGATTTTTGATTCCTAAGGCAGCTGTAATGTGTAGAATATTTTTGATATAAAACTGACAAAAATTAAATATGAATTACAGAGAAAGAGATTGAGAGATTGGTGATAACATGTATTTAAAGGTAAAAAAAAGAAAAAAACATTTTACAATATGCATTTATTTGCAAAACTGAAGACTAATCACATTCCTTATGCAAGTATTACAATTATGTCATTGCTTTTGGCAAATATTTTAACAATCTAAGTCAATAGGAAATTCTTAGATTTACATGCCCACTTCAGAATTCTGTGTTACCTATATCTAAAATAACATTGCAAGTTATTTGATATGGAACATTTTTACATCAGCAGACCTGACCAGGCCAAACTAAGATCACTGATAGTAAGAAAGGACTTCGTAAATGACTTTAATCTGAAAAATAGCATATCTGCCGCATATAATAGCTAGTTTTGATCAGTTTTCTTTTTAAATGTACTGGTTGAATAATTGTTTTGTAATGAAAAATACTTCTATGTGTGCTTTTAAAAAGTACAGTCTTAAATTTGTTTAAACTTTAAAAAAAAAACACTTTAACCTCTAAAGTGCAACCAGAAATAGGACACCTGTAACAAAAATGAAAATTGAATGGAGTGTGCATTCACAAGCAGTCAGGGCAATTGAAAATAAACTGTAGATTTTATTTATACTATTATAGCACCTCTTAGTATACCATCTTAGCATATCCAGCTCCTATTCAGATGCATCTCCTCCATTTTTCAGCCAGAGAGGAGCATAACATGATCCCGGTGTGGTTAGATTCCTTTACTGGGATGTTGCAGCCAACCGTTCTCGTTTGGGGGGGAGCTAGTGTTTTGAGGGGGCTCATCCTCGGCCAAGGGCAGCCTGGGAGCAATTTGGCAGTGTAAATTGTTGCCACACATGGGGCCGGTTGCTGGCAGGGTCAGAAGCCCTTGATGTCACACCCTGTCATTTCAAATTAAGTTATGCAAAGTGAGGCAGCCGCTTAATTTTCTTGAAAGTTGGACCATGGGGCCCCTTGGGCATAATGAGCAGGAAGTTATAATTGGACCGAGCTGTTGATTGCAATAATTGCTACTGTCTGTACGAGGTAGCCTGGCCTGTTCTGATCAGCTTGTTACCAAGGCATGACAGCATGCTGCAATTCTGCCTGGACCAAACGAAGAACACAGGAGGTGAGGAGGGGGAACAAGGAGTGAGAGGTCTGAGGGGGTAGAAGTGCTGCTTTTGGAAGCATATTGTGTGAGTTTGGATGGGTGCACTGGCCATTCTTGGCCGGACCTTTTTTCTCTGCAACAATGTACTCCATCCTTCCCCTGCTGACCCTTTGACATCTGCCCACTTGTTGACCTTAATTCTGTGGTCTGTGAGAGTGAAAGGTCACTGGTCTTTGTTCTCTGCTGAAAGGTAGGAAAGGGCCATTAGTGTCCACAAATCCCCTGACACAACTATGGATTCACAGTACTTGAGATCCTAAAAAAACAGGATAAATATTAGGGGATGTTTAGACTGACATGTTCTAAATGAGGTTCTTTTTTTTTAAGGGATTGTTGTTGTTTACTGAAAAGCTGCTAACTTAGCTGAGACTCTCATGCTAACTCAACTTCTCAGAATTGGTGAAGAAGTAGTGATATCCATTTTTATTTATTCTTTTCAGTTGAAGACTTGAAAATATGGTGAACAAAACATTTGGACTATTTACATATTGTAAAATTAGCGGTCAGTAAGATTTAGTTTTTTGTTTTGAAAGAAAGAAATAATTTAATCCAACAAGTATGCATTAAATCCATTCAAGAAAAAACATTTCACAGTGTCCTCAAAAATAATAAGCAGCACAGCTGTTTTTAACATTGATAGCAATAATAAATGTTTATTGAGCACCAAATCAGCATATTAGAATGATTTATGAAGAATCATGTGACACTGAAGACTGGAGTAATGGCCGCTGAAAATTTAGCTTTGCCATCACAGAAATAATTCGCATTTTAGAAAATATTACAATGGAAAAGTATTTCACAATATTACTGTTTACTGTGGTTTTGATCAAATTAATACATCCATGGTGAGCATAATAGACATCTTTTGACATCTTTCAAAAACATTTAAAAACAATCTTACCAAATTGTAGTGTATATCATTGAGCAAGTGAGCAGCTAAGCTATTCTTCATAGGATAGTCAGTGGAAGAAAGACACTCAAAATAGTTTGGAACAACAGTAGGGTGACTGTTGTTCATATTTAGGTGAACTACTGCTTTAATGCTTCCCCTGTTGTGGCAGGGAATACAGTACAACATCCTTCAGTCTCTCCTTCAGCATCGGTCTCACGGCTTGCACTACAACACATCAGTGAATCAAACTCTCATTACTTTCCTTGGGTACTAAACAGCATTAGCCATTCTAGGTCATTAGACTTCAAAGGCAAGGGGTGGATTATTTACTAAACTTCTGAAATCACATGGCATGGCTGCCTTGTCGTGCCAGATGAGCCTCTAATGAGATAAACACTAATTCAATCTGAACAAAATAGCAGAATCTTAAATATTTACTGTTCCTGTCTATGAACCACGATTAATCCCGAGAACAATATTAGAAGGCACGTATCTGAGTCAACGGTAAAAGGATTTGCTTTCATTATTGTTTTGAATTATCGCTCAGGTAAATTATTGTTTGAAGATTTTCAGAGTTATAAGTACAGAAATCTTTCAAGTGCATGAAATTGTGATGTTTTTCATTGTCATTCAACTTCATGAGCAAGAAACGTATGTTTCGTGTCATTTCCAGCATACACGCATGAAGATATTGTCTGCCATGTTAATTGAAGTTCCTTGGAATGCTGTGATCTGCTGAATGGCACCATGATGTTCACATACTAGAACACTCCAGCTGTCACAGATAGTTCCTCAAGAACAGAGAAACCAGACTTTTCATCAATTCACCACAACCTGGCCTTTCGCCACAAACCCATTTCAGAGGTCACTGCGGGAGGAGTTTTGGAGAACCCGTTCCTCTTATTCCATTGCACCTCACTTCCATTCATGTTCGTCTGAATGCAGCACTCGACACTATCCCTGCTCAGGGGGGAAATGTTTTCAGGTATTTATTTATTAATATTTTTAGCCCGCTCGTTGTCTGCCATGTTAATTGAAGTTCCTTGGAATGCTGTGATCTGCTGAATGGCACCATGATGTTCACATACTTGAACACTCCAGCTGTCACAGATAGTTCCTCAAGAACAGAGAAACCAGACTTTTCATCAATTCACCACGACCTGGCCTTTCGCCACAAACCCATTTCAGAGGTCACTGCGGGAGGGGTTTTGGAGAACCTGTTCCTCTTATTCCATTGCACCTCACTTCCATTCATGTTCGTCTGAATGCAGCACTCGACACTATCCCTGCTCAGGGGGGAAATGTTTTCAGGTATTTATTTATTAATATTTTTAGCCCGCTCATCCCCGCTTTCATGTGTCAGGAGTAAACACGTACTTGATGACCCATAGCGATTAGGCCTATTCATGCTCATCTTCACAATCTTGAGTGGTGCTGTTCTTTAGAGGGAAGCTTCAGGGGCAAGGGCTTCCTGTGAAAGCCAAATGTTGCTTTTCATGGAAAGGGAATGATGATGAAGTAAAAAAAGAAAACAAGATGATTACTGCATATAGACATGTGCACCCTTGTCTTTTTGTTTAACTTTCCTCTGTAATGTGTTTAAGACTGTTCCACTCATGGATCTGAACAAGCACATACTCTGAGTTCTAATTGCCAGCATTCGTCAGGTTTTCCTCTTCGAGATGCGACTGCGGAGTGGCTAACGATGCACAGCTACAAAGGGAGAGCAGCGGCGGGGTTAACATGTCTCAGTGCTCTCCGTGGAAGCAGGATTTTTGGGGTTTAGACACCCACTGAGAGAGAATAATGAGTATATGTTTCTAATCTGGGCCCCTAGGAGATTGCAGCTCCCTTGTCTTTTCACACTGGTGGAAATCGGCAGGCTTCTCTTCTGTTTTTTTTTTTCACAGGCTAATTTAGAGCTGTCTTTGATGCTTTCTCTCCGGAGCTTCTGTTTCAAATATCCAAATGCAAGGATTAGTGGGCTTTTGTGCCGTAAACCCCAATTTATCCTGTTTTCTTTCCCATTTTTTTTTTTGCAGTCTTCCAACCCTAGAAACTGCAAACAATGACAGACCGACAACCTCTGACGTGTTTACGATTGTATGTATTTATTTATTTATTTGCACGTTTGTCTGCATGTATATTCTAGTCATTTTCTGTGCTCACACACACGGGACACACACGGTACAACTAGAGCAATTTAGGCGCCATATCTTGTTTTAAGATTCATTACCAGGAATAATGTGAAATAATAAGGACTGAAGCATATTCTCTCAGTGATATTACAAATCCCTTTGTCAGGCAAAGCACTGTCACTTCTAAATCTGGGTCTGATGAAAGAGAGGAATAAGGAGAAGACACATGCAGCATGCACCCATCGTCTGCTAACTGAGCCGCCTTTGACGACTTTCAGGATCCTGCCACAGATCCTCGGATGAAGCCTTCAGTGGAGCTGGCAGCTTATATGGCACTTTGCCCGTGCTTGCATCCCTCTGCCGACTTGTTGCATTGTCACATATTATGTATTTAAATCCCCTTGTGTCGTTCTGTCACAACACTGTCTGGTTCTCAGTGGCTCTGAGGTGACTTTAATGCAACAGGCGATGAGACACTCTTCGTGACTTCAAGAGGACCTAACTTAGATTAATATTAGAGAGAAAGCAGCAATTATTTAGACATCAGTTGCGCTGGAGACCTGAAGGCTCAGGCGAGAAACACATGATGACCTCAGCTGACAGTTTATAAAATCAAAGCAGTTTGCTTACATTTTTTGATTATTATATAATATTATATATTATATTATATATTATATTATACATTTTTTGAATATTTATTTAATGCCATGACTTAAAGTCTGCCTTAACTATGCTTATATGCTTTGCTATTGTACTCTCTGTTATTGAAGACGACCTTTGATATTGGTTTGTTTTGTTCAGATCCATTAATATTTGTGGCTTGTGGTAACCTTGCAGTGCTGAATGGCATTATTTTTTGTGATTCTCTTCGTAATGTTTTGCTGCACAGACTGAAAAGTTCAGAGTGTCTTTGTTTGGAGATGAAGGCTATAGCATGCAAACAATGTCACAATTCTCCCCCCGATAACCTCTGCATCATGCAGTAACAGTGATGCACCTGAGAACTATACAAAATAGACCACCATAGTATGCCAAACTATCAAAAATTAACAGTTAGTCTTTCAAGAGCACTGTTATGTAAACCTTTCATTGTTGTATCACCCCAAATTATAATAGTGGTTATGATAGTTGATTTTGCTTGGAGCTCAAAGCTGTTTTTTTTGTGAAGTGTCTAATTTGTCTGAAATGCATATTACATGATTCTAACTGATATTTAGCACTAGGGATGCATGGATATCAAAAGTCTACGGGCTGATAAACCACATTATGTTTAACCAATAGTAATAATTCTGTACTGTTTTATCCAAATAACTGTTAAATAAAATACTAAACATGGCTAGCAAGTCAAAAGTATTTGTGTGTTTTTTTTCAAAAAGAACTTTAATTTGGCGAAGATACATTAAATTGATCAAAAGTGTCAATAAAGACATTTATGTTTCAGAATATTCCTATTTCAAAGAAGTGAACTTTCTATTATTCAAAGAATTCTGAAAAAAAAAATAAAATAGCTAAGCAGCACAACCGTTTCAATCAGTGCAACTGTTTATTATTATTGATGATATTATTTATATTAGTGAAAAAAATTATTGAGCTCCAGATCAGAAAATTTAATGTTTTCTGAAGGATCATATGACGCAAGACTGGAGTAATGGCTGCTGAAAATTACTTTACCATCATCATTCAATAACATTTAAAAATCTTACCGACCCCAAAATGTTAATGATAGTGAATAAAAATGAAAATTTGACATTCATTTTGAGATTTGCTAAAGATATCATTCAGCAGTGTTAGTAAATATTTAGTCTTTTTACATTGAAAAACTTTTAGTTTTTCTCTAACTGCACTCTTTATTGTTTGATACAAGTAAAACTCTGCTTCATGTGTCATGTACATGTACTTTCTGAATGACGTTCCCGCTCTGGCTTTAGAATGTCATTGGTTGACAGTGCTCTGCTCTTCAGCCTGACTGATCAAGGCCATCTCTCTCTACGGCCTATAAGAAGATCTCCTGCACCTGGCAGACCATGTCACATGAGTGCTATATGCTGACAGGTAAGGGAGATCAGGGCCGTTTTCTCTGTTCTTAGGTTGGCAGGTATAAGGAGCAGGTGACAGGTTACATGAAGAAAGGGGGACTAGTAGATCCATCATGACCTTTCTGCTAACCAACCCAACATAGACCTCTTAGAGCGGTTGAAAAACATCCGACTCGCTCTCACTCCCACCCCTGCTTACCCTTCCAACCAACAACTGTGTGCTTGTGTTTGCTGTTGCCTTGCTACCCGGATTAATTTTAGAGGCAGAAGGAAGGGGCAGGAGAAAAAAAAACTGTCATGCAAGTCGACAGGCAGTGATTAAGGTTTTAACTGATCATCCTCTCCCTGACAGCTAACCAGCTATTATCTTAAAAGAATCAAACGAATGTTCAAAGCCCTCGCCGGGCATGGAACATGAAAGGAGACGTCAGCCTCTGGCAGCTGACAAGCCAGGAGGAGAGCCAAGGAGTGCACGAGGAAGAGTGAGAAACCAAGAGAGAGAAGGAAAGACAAAGGAGGGAAGAGAGATCTTTATTTTCGTTCTACTACAGGGAGTTTTGACAAACTGATCCCTGAGCCCGAACACTGATGTACTAGAACAACACAACACAATGGCGTGTTTATATTGTGGGAAATCGGCACAGATGAAAGCAAAGAGCGGTAGAAGGATGTGCAAACTGCATATTTTTAAAATCAACTTCAGATTGTGAGTTGCCTGAACGAAGAGTTGACTAGTCGGTCTTAAGGAAGCTGCGTAATTAGGTTGGTTTTAGTTTGAGGACTCTCAGAGGGCCACAAGGTGGGCCATAAAAATAAAATCGGTGTATAGAAGTGTAATGATGACAATAGTCCTAATACTAAAATAGGTAGAAATATATTCTAATTATTATACAAATTTGACATTTATTATGGTTTCATTCTGCCTTAAGAATGAGAATGTGATTAATAAATCTCATTTATGAATGACATTTAATTATAGGAATTCACCACCAATTTGCCGTGGCGGCTCGTCGTTTTTAAAATAGAGGAGGCACACTAATTGTATTGGTCTGGGATCCCTGCCAATTCTTCTTCTTCTTATTATTATTATTTGCTTAACCATTTAAAATGGCTTTTTGATTGCTTTTAGACAAAAAACGTAAAGAAATCGACATATATGCAGCAAGATAATATAATTTCACTTACCTGGCCTATCACTTGAAGCAAACATCCATCCCTTCTTAAAAGTCTGTGTTAAAAGAGAGCTGCCTGTTGCGCCATTTAATTAAGCCGACTGCTGTAGCCTATATCCAGTTTAGGCTGTTTTCCCTAAATTTGTATATATACTGTTTGAATGACAGCTTGGTAAATCTGTTGGCAATCAAATATTCAGTATCGCTACTCATAAGTACTTGGTACATTATCGGCGTAGCTGGAGACGTTCAAACTAATATCACGTAATTTACATCTCTATGATGCTTGGTTGATATCAGAAGGGAGGCTAGCCTCCCTTACGAGGGTTCTATTCTCAACACTCCTCAGCGCTGAAAGTGAACACTCGATGGTACCAACGGAGGCACGAGAGCTCAGCGCTCCCCCGGCCTCCCCCTACCCTTCTATAGCACCTAGCGGTTGTAATTACATCAGCAGATTCGGTACATTCGCGATAGAAAAGCGGCGCTTTCACGTTATGGTATTACAACTGTGAAATTACAAACAAAAAAAATACACATTCTGAGACATGAACTGAAATGAATTGTGCATTTTATTAACAATAAATCGTCGTCCTCCCATTTTCACCTCAAAATTATGGGGAAGCTGTGCCTCCCCTGCCTCCCCAGACGAGCCGCCACTGCCAATTTGCCAAATTGTAAAATAGTTATGAATTGCCATGGGAGTGTGTTGGAATCTCATTGTCTTTATTTTAATTTTAAGTCAATCTTACAGAGAAGTCAAAAAGTAGTTAGCTATAGTTTTAATCAGAGTTGCAAATTTAATAATAACAATAATAATAGTAGTAGTAGTAAGTGGCATTGAGTTTGCTTGGTAAATGTTTTTAGGTAAAGAATCTATCAACCTCAAACAAACGCAGTATGCTTTTTATGATAACTTTGGAATTTTTGTTATAATTTCCAAAATTGGCATACAAATATGTGGATGAAAAAACAAATAGTGTCACACTTTGTATGACTGAAAACATTTCAAATTGTTGTTGTGTTCTTGTTATTGTATAGAATTTTAAATAGTTTTCACATAGTTTTCTCTGTCTGTCATTAATATTGTTTAATATAGAGAATTTCTTGCTTAAAAGTATATTTTAATTTGATCCATTTATTAGTAGATTAATGAAAAGTACTATTATAAATACTATTACTAATACTATGACACTGGCTCTGTAACGATTTAAATAGTTAATTTGTCTGTTTTATCTACTAATTCTATGTACCACTAACGCTCTTTCTCTGAGTAGCTATGCTCGACCCAAATGTTTATACTATAATTGAGATTAAAATTGGCTCCACTTTCCCAAACTTTTTTTTTTTTAGATGTGCTGCAATGACAATCATGCCACCAAACCTGGGGGAAATGAGCCTGGAGGGTATCCAGCGGTCCACTGATGCGTTTGAAGTGTTGAGAGGGGATTTAGAAAGAGACCAAGTCGCTATTTGTAGGAGCGAACAATCTAGAGAACATAAATATGGAAAATAGTTAATTATAAGTTTGTAAAAGGAGCCGTAGATTATGCCATGTCCTTGCTTCAAGTTTGTGTTCTTAGACCCACTTTTCTGAAACTTCTGAGAAAACTTTCTGAAGTAGATGAAAGTTAAATAACACAAACATAAGAAGAAAAAGAGGTTTTGTTGTTCACTGCTTTGGTTTCACAATAAGGCACTTTGAATTTGGGAGTGAAGATGCTCGCAAGGTTAGAACATCAGCTGAACTAGCATAGAAATCACACGTGAAAGAACACAGCTAGTTCTGAAAGCCAGTTCTTTTACAATTCCTGTTCATCTGCTTGAATCTGTCACAATGACCACAGGTTGAGCCTATTGTGGAGTATGTAAGAGTGACTTATCATAACAGCCCTGTTCATGCAGATGGAGAGCAGTCCTGTCAGATTAGCACCAGGTTCAGCTCTTATAGCCTGCGGGTGTGATAGGATCAGCCTCAGCTGTGGCATTTACTGTTGTTCTCCGTTAACCACTATTGTGTAATGAGAGACTCTCAACTTGCACTAATGACATTTTAGCTGACATATCCGGAGCTTAATGTCCTTCACTTTCCCTGCGTCAACTTTGTTTCCATGCCAGGCACCAGATTGACACTTTGATATTTGCTCTGATGGAATCATTACTAAATGGTCTGCTTGGGCCTATGAGCGCGTGGTTCAGCATGGAATTTTATGAATGCGAGAATCTAATTAGCTCAGAATTAGAAAAAAGCTGACAAACCTTTTTTTCTTTTTTAATTTGAGATCAGATCTGATTATGTCAGCTAAAAGTCGTG